ATTTTATTTGACATCAAGGTGTATGCCGTGCCTCCAAGCTTTCTTACTCATTTTGCTAATAAACGTTCTATGTTTCTTATTTATTTGGTTATACTGTATATTATACATGTTTACTTAGCCTATTTCCAGTTTTGTATACCTATTTAAACTTTATGTAAGTTATTAGTTATATTACATTATAGGCATAGCCTGCCCTATAGCATGGTGTATTTTTATTAGTTTTGTTAATAAAAGTTCTATGTTTTATATATAGGCTAAAGTGAGTTTGACGTTGTATTTTGTTGTTGCATTCAAGCAATTGACGCCGAACTGCCGCTAATTCGAAAGTGAAAGTAAAATGTGCTCGGCGCTTTTAAGCTATTTATAAGTGAAGGAAAGTGAGGAAAAGAGGGAAAATTCAAACGAACAATTGCTTTACGCCGATTTGCCGCTATTTGAAAGTGAAAGTAAAATGAGCGCGCCGCTTTTACAAGCTATTTAAAAGCGAAGGAAAGCGAGAAAAAGAGGGAACGCCCCGCCCCCGCGGTGATAACGGTATTACCGGTGTTGTCACACATCGATTAACCGGTGGGAAAATTTCCTCAACCGGCACAACCCTAATTGGTAGTATAATGTAGGTTTCTTTAGAAGGATGGGATGTCCACTTTTTGATGCGGGTTAACACTTTCTGTTTTCCTCTCATTAACACATATTAGTTGTGTTCTAAAATCTAGTGAGCTGCCTTGCTCTCTACATAAACAGCTGCCTTCTAAGTGATAATATGGTTAATATGGAACATGATCAGTGACCGATTTGAAATGCACAGTATGGGCAGCATCTCTCATAATGGACACTTACATGTGCCACACAAATAGCACTAAATACTTCTAAGCTAACAACAACAATTTAAGCAAAAAATACAGCAGTAGCATTACAAATGTTGGGTTAAATTCAGCATTTTTAGTTAGATTGAACTATATTTATCAATATATCATAAATTGACTCTGATGTTTTGATGGATTTATTTTCAGTTGGAGCTGGAAAGATGTCAAAACATTGAGGAAGACTGTGTTAACTCAATTCACAACAAGATGTGTGCTTAATTATTGAATGTGCACTTGCAGTGTACTTCAAATCTTAAAAGTATGGCAGCTAATATAATTTTAATGAAATAAAAGGCCACTTAAGTGAGAGAGAAACTTACATGACTGTTTCTAACAAACCATACATCAATGGAAAGCTTATTTATTCAGCTTTCAGATGATGCATAAATCTCAATTTCGAAAAATTTACCCTTATGACTGGTTTTGTGGTCCAGGGTCACCCATATATAATATCATATCATATCATCATATTATAATGGAGGTGCAAATATTTAGTGATTGTTGGATAGAAGGTATAGCTATAGCATATGTATTGCAATAATCTATCATCATTTGGAAAGTGTTTGACATGCATAACACCTACATTTTTATGTATTTGCTTCCAAATACCGTATGTATATATTCAGTATATTACCTAATCGAAGCGCACAGTTGCACCATGTCAGTATTGTACACCACCACCAAGGCAGCATTTATTTGATCAAAAATGCAGTAAAATTGCAAAATATTATTACAATTGAAAATATCTGATTTCTATGTGAATATATTGTAAAATGTAATTTATTTCTGTGATGCAATGCTGAATTTTCAGCATCATTTCTGATTATTTTCAGTGTTGTGCTGCTGAGTATTTTTGTGGAAACTTTGATGGATAGCATCAAAAGAACAGCATTTATTTAATTTTTTGTAACATTATAAATGTCTTTACTGTCACTTTTGAGCAATTTAATGCATGCTTATTGAAAAAGTATGTTTAAAAAAAAAAAAAAAATCTTACTGAAAAAAAAAACTTGGATTTTCCAAGTTAAAATAATAAATCATGACCTGTTGACATTGTTGTATTGACTGCTCTGTGTCTCTGTCTATCTAACAGACTGCTTTGCTGCTAAAGACACATTCACCATTATTTGTTGAGGATTCGCCGCTAAATCAAAGCTCCAATCCACCCTCGTTAAATGACAGGTACAATATTTATAAACTTTTCCAGTTTTGTAGTTTTTTTATTATATCAAAAGAAACCCGTTGGACAAAAGCATCTAGATTACTCAAACCAAAAAAATGAAATTTCAGTTTCCAGATTCTGGAAGAGAGAGAGGAGCCGGGCTTTCTGACCGGCCTGAAGATCCCTGCCCCATGGGCTGCTGGGAAAACAGTGGAAACCGCTCATCCGGTGCGAGATAACTACAAGTTTAAAGAAACCGTGCACATCCCTGGAGCTCGGTGTCTCTACCTCCGCTTCGACCCTCGCTGCTCCTCACAATACGACTATGACAAGGTTTCACGTTTCTGCTGTTCTCATTCACAGTGGAATGAAAGTGTCACGTTGAATATTCACACTCGCAATTCTCTTGTCATTCAGCTGGTGGTTTACGCCGGGCCAAACACGAATAGTCGTAAAGTGAGCGAGTATGGAGGAAACACCATGGGTTACGGTAGCCGCAGTGTCTTAGGAACTGGATGGCCCAAAGATCTGGTCAAGGTGAGGATATCTGATACAATGCTTTCAGGAAAAACCTGCTGGGCTCTTAATGAAGTCCAATGCTTAAAGGAACACTCCACTATTTTTGAAAATAGGCTCATTTTCCAACTCCCCTAGAGTTAAACAGGTGAGTTTTACCGTTTTCGAATCCATTCAGCCGATCTCGGGGTCTGGCGGTAGCACTTTTAGCTGTAGCTTAGCATAGATCATTGAATCTGATTAGACCGTTAGCATCTCGCTCAAAAATGACCAAAGAGTCTCTATATTTCTCCTATTTAAAACTTGACTCTTCTGTAGTTACGTCGTGTACTAAGACTGACGTAAAAATGAAAAGTTGCTATTTTCTAGGGCCGATATGGCTAGGAACTTCAATGATCTATGCTAAGCTAAGCTAAAAGTGCTACCGCCAGACCCGGAGATCGGCTGAATGGATTCGAAAACGGTAAAACTCACCTGTTTAACTCTAGGGGAGTTGGAAAATGAGCCTATTTTCAAAAATAGTGGAGTGTTCCTTTAATATCATTAACACACTGTTTACTAAAATACCTTTACTGATTTTGATATAGTAACGTCAGATATGACTTTTATTTTTAAAGAAATACATTTTTTTACTTTTGTTGATTATGGTTTATATTAATAATAGAAATGCTTGAATGTAAACGCAATACAACATACATGTCTGTTAAACATTTGTGCTTGTTAAAAGCCTTCAAAAAAATAATGGGATGCTTAAAATGTGTCAAAGAGCGCACGTTCAACATTTTCCTGAAATGGATCCGTTTCTGGACGTTCGGCAATAAAATTAATTTAAATTCTAAAAATGAATAGTTTTTATGTAGTTTATTATGTGTATACAATATACTTAAGCCTTCTGCTTACTCCTTGATTTGATTTGTGACCCTGCAGCACTAAAGCAGTCTTAAGTCGCTGGGGGATATTTGTAGCAATAGCCAAAAATACATTGCTTGTAATACACAATACGTATGGGTCACAATTATACATTTCTCTTTTATGCCAAAAATCATTAGGATATTAAGTAAAGATCATGTTCCATGAAGATATTTTGTAAATTTCCTACCGTAAATATATTAAAACTTAATTTTTGATTAGTAATATGCATTGCTAAGAACTTCATTTGGACAACTTTAAAGGCGATTTTCTCAATATTTAGATTTTTTTGCACCCTCAGATTCCAGATTTTCAAATAGTTGCATCTCTCACAAATATTGTCTCGATCCTAACAAACCATACATCAATGGAAAGCTTATTTATTGATGCATAAAACTCAATTTTGGAAAAAATTGACCCTTAAGACTGGTTTTGTGCTCCAGGGTCACATATAATACTGTAAGTTTTTCTACCTTAATTCTACTCGTTTAATTTTTCTAGATGTATATTACTTTGTTTTTATTTAATTCTATGTATACACCAGAGAATAGAGAGGAATAATTAAGTATGCGTGTATGTAACTAACCAGTGCATCTGGAAATCACGATGAATAAGTGAATAAAGCACATTCTGATTCATTCAGACGATCTACAGATATTAAATATCACTGCTTCTAATCTGTTGTATTTTCAGGTGGAAGGAGATACCGTGACGTTCTCTTTTGAGATGAGAAGCGGACGCGAGCACAACACCCCAGATAAAGCCATGTGGGGTTTCTCATGCACCGTCCGAGCACAGGTACAGAGCTTTTAAATGCATCCCAATCATAACATTTACAGTGAAACAATTAACCGCCTATTAGAAGTTAATTGACTTCGTTCAACAAATGTGTTTTCCAACAAACATCCTGGTTGCAGGGTTATTATTATATACTAAAACTATACGAAAAAATTTATTAAAACTTTAATGTATAGGAAAACTATTGAGATTGTGCTAATTGATTTTCATTTAAACAAAAGTGATGGAATCAATTATAGTTTATCAATCCAAAAGTATAAATTAAACTGACTAATATATTGATGTATTTAAATTATTTACTTTGTTTATAAAGTGTAGTTTAAAACACTTAATTGGTTGCTAACGTATGGTCAGCTGCAAAATTACATGTTTTAATTGATTTGGTAGATGGATCAGAGAAAAGTGTAAAAATTCAAAAGTATAATTTTATTGTTATTCAAAAAGTTTAAATGCATCTGCCAGATTTTACAATAAAGTCCCATTTGTTAATGCTTTAGCTAACGGCGACCAATATATTTGACAAATATCATATTTAATTTTATAGCTTTGTGGACATCAAAAACACACTATGGAGTTTGGGGCTCAGCAAAAACATTAAATTGAATTTTAAAGAGAAATTTAAAATTCATTACATGATGTGCCAGTTGATTAGTCTAATTAATGGCAAATTAATCACACATCAATTTTGGCTGAGAAATAAGCCCCCGAAAGATTATTTTAAGCCATTATTGTGTTTAAAGCATTAACACATTGAATAGACAAATAATTATAATAAATGGGTATTCATGAGTTTTTTTTTTTAATGAGTGAGTCATTCAGGTATTTATGCAACCAATTCATTCAAATGCTAGATTAATTCACTGTCTTTATTAATGGGTCGCACTGAATCATTTGCTCGCTCGATTTGTTCAAAACTGCTCTTTATGCGTGGGTCACTGAATCGTTCAGTAACAAAACAGCGCTGTGTGTTGCTCAAAGATGCACGGCTTTTCTGCTGTGGCTTTGTTGGTGAAATTGAGCAAAACGGATACTACTGATAATATTGTGTTTTAAATGTAACACAATATTAACTTATTTGTGACCCTGGACCACAAAACCTGAAGTCTTAAGTGTCATAAGAGGGGCCTTTTTTGCGCTCATATCTTGAATTTGAGGGCATATAACTGCATTGTGATAGGCTGCGTCACACAGTCAGTCGTCCTGCATCATGTTAAATCGTGTTATTTTCCTCATAATTATTCGCACCAAATGAACGTGTTAAATCAACCTTGCTTGTTTGCACTGATTGTTTCAGGAGTCGTCAGAGGATGTGTCGGGTGGCCTGCCCTTCCTGGCTGATCTAGCGCTGGGTTTATCGGTGCTGGCCTGCGCCATGTTACGCATCCTCTATAACGGCCCCGATATCACACGAGAGGAGGAGGCCTGCCACGACCTGCTCTGCTCCAAACTACTGCAGAGGTGTGCCGCACATAAACCCTGTTGCAGCAGTTCTGTAGTGCTTGTGAATGTGCGGGAAAATCCAGCAAATGCAAGCTTCCCATATTAGCTGCTTTTACAGGATTTCTAGTCATTTAGACACTTTTTTTTGTCCCTATAGGGAAAGTAAGTTTGCCATTTTCCCTTGAGATTTGGAGCCAAATTACAGGGGGGTAAAGAGGACTTTAGAAAGATCGCAGCATCATGTTATTTTTACACAGAGATTGGAAAGTCTGTTAGTAAAATCTGTTGAATTTATATCCTTCTAGACTTTGGTTCTTAAAAAACATTTATTTTGGTATCTTAATTTTTAAAGGGTTAGTTCACCCAAAACTGAAAATTCTGTCATAAATTACTCACCCTCGTGTTGTTCGAAACCCGTAAGACCTTCGTTCATCTTCAGAACACAATTTATGAAATCGGAGGGCTCTCTGACCCTCCCATAGACAGCAAGGTAACTACCACGTTCAAGGTCCAGAAAAGTACCAAGATGATCGTCAAAGTAGTCCGTGTGACATCAGTGGATCAACTGTAAAGCTACAAAGCTAGAATAATACTTTTTTTGCGCAAAGAAAACAAAAATAACAACTTTATTCCACATTTTCGTCTCTACTGCATCACTTTGGGCGTGCGTTCACGACAGTATCAGTGTGGCGGCGCCGGATCTGGGTCAGCGTAGAATACTTTTATTTGCGCAAAAACGTATTCTCGTAGCTTCGTAACTTTACAGTTGAACCACTGATGTCACACGGACTACTTTGTCGAACATCTTGGTACTTTTAGTTATCTTGCTGTCTATAGGAGGGTCAGAGAGCCCTCAGATTTCATCAAAAATATCTTAAATTGTGTTCCGAAGATGAACGAAGGTCTTACGGGTTTCGAACAACATGAGGGTGAGTAATTAATGACAGAATTTTCATTTTTGGGTGAACTAACCCTTTAAGGCCCTGTATGGTTCAATCCCACAGATATGGGGATCTCAGTGTGGCTCCGTGTCCAAAATGTTAAATTTTACACATTTTAAATGGTCGAAAACAAAATGTGGGCCACTTTGCATAGAGCTTAATATATATATGAAGTTAATTTGCAAAAACCGATAAACGGCACTTAAAAAAAAAAAAGAGCTGATTGCCGGCATTATTCTCCACATATAGCGCGATCTGAACCCTAAACACGCTTTGTCTCACATTTTACGGCAGAAGCCGACAAGCGCCCTTGTTGTTTTTGAACAGAAGCCGATAAGTCAATTTTAGCGAATCAGCACGCTGTATTCAGGTCAGGTGACAAGGCTACTTTCACTTTGAAAAGACGTGCTAGCTGAGAGGAGTTTCGTCAAAGCTGACTAAAAGTGATCGAGGATGGATAATTTCGACGAACTTGATGAATCTGTGATATCTTCTTCAGGCGAAAAAGGAAAATAAAAGCTGAAACGTTTTCATGGAAGCTTGCAAAAGCAGCGCGTTACAATGATGAGCGAAAAGCTCCATGTATTGCGTGTAATCACATCCATACAGTTTATGATCACAACAACAACAATGTTTGTCAGGCGTCTACATTGTCATCTTAGGAGATTACAAGTGCTTTTTAAACTCTAAAACATGAAATGTGGA